ATTTTCATCATGCATGTTCTATTTTCATCATGAGTCAGATGCCACCAGCAGAAGGTTGATTTTTTTTTTTGTTGGTTCAGGTTCTATAGGTTCCGCATTGGAGGGTTGGCTCTTTTAAGACTTCTAAAAGCATGCTCCACACCTCATCCCTCTCAGATTTTGGACGGCCCTTGAGATTCTTAAACCTTGGGTCAAGTGCTGTAGCTATTTTTAGAAATCTCACATTGGTACCTTCTTTGCATTTTGTCAAATCTGCAGTGACAGTGTTTGCAAATCAAACAACATATGCTGGGTCATCATCTGAGACTGCTATAACATGAAATATATGGCAGATTGTAGGTGTGATGCAGTCTATATAATTTTATAAAAATATGCTAATGAGTGAATATAATGTAACTGGAATATTCTTCATGCAAAAGGTCTCTTGTAAGGTATTATTACAAAGCTTATAATCTACTGAGTGTGATCATCCTATTTGTATAAATGTACCACTCTTGTATATGAAACTAGAAATATGAAATATAACTCTGAGGGCCTATTGTAATTATGCAAAGTGTGGGCCATTAATGGTGGTTTGGAATCTTGATGACTCCCATTAACCCGGACAACTGTCTGAAGATGGGTGTGTTTTACCTGTAAGTCTTCCTGTATATGTGTGTGCTGGCAAGTGGGCAATGAAGTCTTGCAGGGACATGTGATCATGTCACTTGAACTGGAATACATCTCTAACCTGGTGCCTTTCCATTGAGAAGGAGGGGGTGGAAACCCAGAGAGGGGCAAAGGATTCCCGCCTTATGCAAAAGATATATAAAGGGGTGGAACAGAACAAAGGGAGGAGAGGAGCCATCATGAAGAATCCCCTAGCTACCACCTGAGTTGGAACAAGAGCTGTACTAGGGGAAAGAATTGTGCCCAGGCCTGGAAGGTGTCCAATCTGAGGAAAAAACTTACTGAAGCATCTCTGAGGGTGAGATTATCTGTATTACGTTTGACTAGACATAGATTTGCGCATTTTATTTTATTTTGCTTGGTGACTGACTTTGTTCTGTCTGTTACTACTTGGAATCACTTAAATCCTACTTTCTGTATTTAATAAAATCACTTTTTACTTATTAATTAACTCAGAGTATGTATTAATACCTGGGGGAGCAAACAACTATGCATATCTCTCTATCAGTGTTATAGAGGGTGAACAATTTATGAGTTTACCCTGTATAAGTTTTATACAGGGTAAAACGGATTTATTTGGGTTTAGACCCCATTGGGAGTTGGGCATCTGAGTGTTAAAGACAGGAACACTTCTGTTAGCTGCTTTCAGGTAAACCTGCAGCTTTGGGGCAAGTAATTCAGACCCTGGGTCTGTGTTGGAGCAGATGGGAGTGTCTGGCTCAGCAGGACAGGGTGCTGGGGCTCCGAGCTGGCAGGGAAGGCGAGTAGTAATAGTCTTGGCACATCAGGTGGCAGTTCCCAAGAGGGTTTCTGTGATCCAACCCGTCACAGTGGGTAAAACAGAGCAGGGAACATACAATTCTCCCCCAAGGAATTCAGTCACAACTTTAATTAACGCACTATTTTTTTTTTATCATCAGCATGGAAGCAAGTCTTCTGGAATGGTGGCTGAAGGATGAAGGCGCATACAAATGTTTAGCATATCTGGCACGTAAATACCTTGCAACACCGGCTACAAAAGTGCCATGAGAACACCTGTTTTCACTTTCAGGTGACGCCCGTAAATGTAAACAAACTTGTTTGTCTTAGCCATTGGCTGAACAAGAAGTAGGACTGAATGGATTTGTAGGCTCTAAAGTTTTACATTGTTTTGTTTTTGAGTGCAGTTATGTAACAAAACAAAACAAAAATCTACATTTGTAAGTTATACTTTCACAATAAAGAGATTGCACTACAGTACTTGTATGAGGTGAATTGAAAAATATTATTTATTTTGGGTTTATCATTTTTACAGTGCAAATATTTTTAATAAAAAATAATATAAAGTGAGCACTGTACACTTTATACTCTGTGTTGTAATAGAAATCAAAATATTTGAAAAATGTAGAAAAACATCCAAAAACATTTAATAATTTTCAATTGGTATTCTATTGTTTAACAGTGCGATTAATCGACAGCCCTAATATATAGCAAAACTCAAACATTTTCTGAGCAAAAGAGTGTAAGGAAGTTTGGAGATCAAATTCTGAAGCTGCCAACAAGTAGAATAAAGTGGATTTGTCCATGGGGGAAACAAAACAGAAATGGTCCTTCCACCTGGAGTTAAACAAAGGCAAGTCCAACGTTGACACTACAAGCCTGTATATGAGGGGAAACTATTTATTTTCAAATTAAATCCCAACTTTCAAATTTCAGAACATTACTAGTAAGGAGAGTTAAAAGGGATACAGTAGTCATGTATTTAAATTTAACTAGAATCTGTTGGTTTACCAGCATCTTTGCTTATAGCAGAACAACCTGGATTGCTCACTATATCCTTCCTAGTAAAAAGGACTAAGAAATTTTTTTGTTAATGTGTGCAGGGTAGATGTGAACAGATGCTATTATGTCCAGTTTTTGAAATTACTTAGTGAAAAAGTTCTGAATTTATTTTAAATAAATGACTTGGAATTCAACAACCACCCATACAGGTGACCATTTACCTGAAGTTATACAGTATAATTATTCACTTGGAGCTTCCCTTCAGATTTTACAACAATGTTTTAATCAGACAGTAATCCTAGTTTATAAACCTAAAATTTACTGAAAGCATTTTTAAAAATTTGAACTTTATAATACTACTTGTTTGGTTTGAAGAAATAGATTTCTTCCTGAAAATACGTTTAGAAAGTTGCACTATTTACAGTGATCATTTATAATCAGCGATTCCCATTAAGGTTACTTTCAGTGACTGAAAACTTTTGTACTGTAGGCTGAAATTGAACAGATTAATAGTTCAAACTTACAGAAGAAGGGGCGGAATGTGAATGTGAATTTTGAGGAGAACGGATTGCAGGAGATATGCCTCTTACAGGACTGGAGCCGTTTCCACCTTGGTACTGAAGAGGAAACATTGCCAAAGAATTAGTTAACATTCTTATCGAAAATGGATGTAAGACAAAATAATAATAATATCACTTATTGTATTACTGCACAATCTATATGTCGAAAGGAAGGAGAGTGCAAAAAACTATTCAAGATGTAGCTTTCATTTTTTAAATAGAAATTTTACAAACACCTCCAAAGACATTTTAAAAACTAATTATTTTAAACCGTCCATTCCCTAGTCCTTTTTCAGCTCCAGCAAGACCAAGAGAACATTTAAAAGACATTGCTAGCTCACAGTGTAGACATGACTTGTATGTGTGACTTTTGTATAGAAAGCCATGCATTTTATGTTTCTAAATCAAAGCAGGTGACAATCCAAACAAATCTGTTGCCTGAGTAGTGCAATACTCTTTACATTTATGCTTGTGAATTTAACTAAATTTAGTATCTTATACAGTTACTTGCAACATGAAAGAAATCAAAAAAGTAAATTTTCCAAATAAATAAAAAACTTACTTCAAAATAGTCACTAATTTTGTGACCACGTCCCCCAATACTTTTCCCTGAAGTTAAAGAAAAAATTAAAGACATTAAAAGTGACAAAAATAGACCACTATACTTACTACAGAGGTGAAAAGTACACAATATGTCAAAGTCTTAGAATCTGCTAAGCAGTTTTCTGCGGTTTGGTGAGTCAATGGGTGATCTTTCTATCTAGATATTCATATGACATCCCATCAGCACAGCATCTGAGAACTCCATGCACTTTAAGTAATTTATTCTCACATCATCCACATATCGCAATGAAGTATAATTATGCGCTTTTTTTTTTTTAACGTGAACGGCAAACTGAGGCACAGAGAGACTGACCGGTTCAACTCACACAAGTCGTCTGTAGTAGAGAAGCCAGGAATTAAATTATCTCTCTTAATTCCCACCCCAGTGCCTTAGCCACAAGACTATCCCCATCTAATATGATGAGATGTTCATCATAAATGTTGGCAGACAAGAGATTAGGTGCCAAGCTCCTCCACATTTTAGGCACTCTGTCTCCAGGCTCACCAGTCAACGACTTGCCAAAAATGTCAAATCTGGCTAGCCTACAACTCACTTTCTATACTAGTCCCTTTGCTCAGTTCCTCAACCTGAGTGGGTAAAAACAGTGAGGACAAAATCTAACTCGGGGTAGGCAACCTATGGCACTCGTGCCGAAGGCGACATGGGAGCTAATTTTCAGTGGCACTCACACTGCCCAGGTCCTGGCCTCCAGTCCGGGGGGCTCTGCATTTTAATTTAGTTTTAAATGAAGCTTCTTAAACATTTTAAAAACCTTATTTACTTTACATACGACAATAGTTTAGTTATATATTATAGACTTAGAGAAAGAGACGATCTAAAAACATTAAACTGTATTACTGGCACGCGAAACCTTAAATTAGAGTGAATAAATGAAGACTCGGCACACCACTTCTGAAAGGTTGCTGACCCCTGATCTAACTAGAAGTACAGTACCAATTTATGGAGGCAACAACAAATTACTGACCAGCTAACTCAGTAGGCTGTGACAGCTGGGGCAATATAAAGGTGCAAAGGGGCTGAACAGGGAGTAGAAAGAATGAGTATCACCTTGTGGAGATGATAGCATCTCTTTTCCCCTTGCAAGTCAGTCAGTCAATTCCAGCAGGGGAAGTTAATCAGAGGCTTTAAACCATTGCAGGGACTTTCGGATCATGAAGAGGGAATGAGACTTTCTGAACTCCTGTGTTTGAGACAGGGTACACCTTCACTGTCCCACATATATCCAAACAGTGTCAGGGGATTTCCTCTGGGCTTTGGTGATCGGACAGAAGTTGGGGGGGAAAATCTCCTGGTTCAGGTGAAAAGAAGAAACTGCTTTGGTAAGGAAGCTATAACAAGTGCAAAGCATTAATTTTTCCTTAAGAAAAACAAGACAGTTTTGATAGCAAACAAATGCCATAAAAAGCAACAAAGAGTCCTGTGGCACCTTATAGAGACGTATTCACCCACGAAAGCTTATGCTCCAATAAGTCTGTTGGTCTATAAGGTGCCACAGGACTCTGTCGCTTTTTACAGATCCAGATTAACACGGCTACCCCTCTGATACTAAATGCCATAAACTGTCAGCTGAAGGCGACCTCGACTAAAGAATTCCACTTTCAAGGAAAGCACAGTAAGAAGCACCAAAGCTAAGAATTCAGCAAGGTTTGAGCAAAGCACTGAGCACCCTATTGAGAACCCAGGGACTTCACAGGAGGCTTAAGATAGGACACAACCCTAAGGAACTGGTCCCAATGGGATGAGTCCTCATTGTGTATCTCTAGTGAAGTCCAAAGAAAGAAGGTAGGTTACTGAGGAGGGAGCAGGAGAGAAAAGCTCCACAGAGGAGTAAGTGTAGTGAACTGCTTGGGATAAATTAGGGTAGAGTCCTTCAGTGTAGAGAACAGGTGGGCTTTGTATTCTTTTAGGTCCATGCATTGGTCTCAAGATTAAGCACCTCTGGCTCTCCCTCAGAACCAAGGAAGCACCTTGGGAATAGGTAAGGGACCTGGAAAAGCACCATAGCTCTTTTTCCCCTGCTGTTCTAGGCATTTTCTCTAGAATGAATCTAGTGGGAGTGCCCTAAAGTGAGGGGAGGCCACTCAATACAGGTTTACTCCCATTGGCAAGATAGGAGACTGCTGAATTGCTGACTAGACAATCCAGACACACCGGCAGTGATCGTTTGCAGGAAGCACCCACTGTTAGGCTACACTTTCCACTTCCAGAGTGTCTGTCTGTTTCCTCTGTACTATCTTTCATAGTGCCTGTGCTTGAGGTCTAAAGACAACACATCGATGTGAAGCACTTTTTGTTTTCCTCACTGAGAGGAAGGAAGAGACTGGGAACAGTGCCTGAAAGGGGAGGGAGACTGCCTATCTTTTGCTCCTCCACTGCTTGACACCAGAAAAGAAGAACTGCGGAACCACACTGGGGAACCAAGCCACAGAAAATTTATTTAAAAAAAGAAATACATATGCATTTGTTTTCCAAAAAGTGCATTTGATATTTCAACCATTAAGCTTCTAGAGGTTTTTGTTCATTGGTTTAAGGTAAGCACTGCCATGAAGGTGCAGCTGTCTCTTACAATTACTGTAGACCCCATTAATTGTCACATCATGGTAGATATACAGCTGTTTCAAATTAAGCACTCAAACCTATTATCAGACGCACCTAGAAATACATTATGCTAGGAGATATTCCTCTATTTCCATTAATTGCCTTTACAAAGCATACAAATCATTATACATTTAGACATATTAGGGCAAGATGGTTTATTGAGAAACCATAAGAGATCAGGAAAACAGAAAGATGTGAACAAAGGAAAGAACCAGAGGGAAGCTTATGCTAACAAATCTGTACACACCTGTACAGAACACAACAGTATAGTCCCAAATGTATTGTAATCATCATGCTGAGGGACAACTCAGTAATAACTAACTCTACAACACATTAAGTTATTACAGTGTACAATGCAACTTATATTGACTTATTCTGCCATTAACCAATTCTTACAGTTTTTGAAACACATTAAACAAACCTGTTCCCTTAGAATCACCCTACTTAAGCAGGATGGCATTTAATCACACAGTTTAGTGGATTCCACCACATACTGCAAGTCTCTTTCATAAAAGCCATTTCCCTACACTTACCTACCCCCTACTCTTCATGATTTCAGTAAAGAAAGAGATGGTTTATTAAGGTTTTTAAACAAATGCACCATTTTACCACTTTCTCCGTCTCCAAACCAGTCTTATCCCTTCAGGTCAGCTTTTAGATAATAGGCAAGAAAGGAGTTTGTCAGCTGAAAAGCATTAAAAGTGATCGGTAAGGGAAAAAACTGGGCTTTGTGCCTTTGCTTCTTTATAAGGAAGGCCAGAAAGGTCATCCTATGCTATAAACAGATTTTTTCTGCTTGTTTTCACATTTGAAATTCATGTCCTATCTAGCATGGAGGACACTACTGCCTTGTCTACATTAGGATACTTTGTAGTTATAAAGTTCTATTGGCAGTAACAACATTGTAAACAGGGCATAAGAGTTTTTATTACCAGGTTGTCTGCTCTAAGAAATGGTTAAAGTTTCCTGCTTTTACTACCACTTGTTCCACTTCATCAAGGGCAGCAATGATGGGAGCACTAGAAGGGCAGCTGTGGGAAATTTCCCAAAAAAGTTTAGAATAGGCAAAGCCTCTGTGAGGTGACTGTAGCACAACAGTTAAGAGACCAAGAGTCGAGTAAGTGAAAGGAGAGGCTGTCAGATTGTCTTAAACTATTTTTTTTAATTAGAACAAAATATATTATACATTTAAATAGCAGTAAACACTCAAATCAAAATGATCATCTAAACGGAAGTATTTTAACACAACATATCTTCCACTTTGCTTTTTTGGCTTAACATGGGAAGGGATAGCCTACACTTCCCTGAAAAATGTAAAAAAAAATATATATATATTGCAAGGCAAAGTTAGACTGTCAGCATTATTCTTTACATCATGCATAAGTAGCTAGAGGAGAAATTAATCTCGAGGACACACTAAAAAATTTCCTAGAATAACTTCAATATTAAAAGAAATGGATAAAAAAATTGTTTTATAATGCAAGCCAGTTATTTATTTATTCATTCTAGTTTTCAGAGTATCTTCTCTAACAGTTAACAACATTAACATCTAAAGCATTATAAGGAATGCAGCTGCCTCCATTGTTTTATATGCCGGTGATGTCATCAGCTATTGCAGGGAACATATAAAACCCTAAATTCAGGTCTTGGCAAGACATTACAAGAAAAATTCCAACTTATTTATCTGTATGTGTGAAATATTGCCACTGTAGCATCAAGCAGATCAGAGATATTTAATAGAAATCAGTTCCATAAGTTTTCATACCCAAACAAGTGACTGTGATTTATCAAGTGACTTAAAACCATGTTAACATTAAACTATGCAGTCACAAATTAACAAATTTCTCCAATCCAAAAATACTTAACATCCATTTGAAGGAGTTCTCTATCTTTGCTCCCAAGAAGGCTCTGTATTTAAAGGCCCTAAGCTCCCACTCCATCCCAAGTAATTTCCTGGACAGGTCATGCCTTATCAGTCACTCTGGTAAAGGGAAGGGGAACATCACACTACATTGTCTTTATGAATAAATCCCATAAGCCCTCAGAGTTGGCTCCAATTTCCTTTTAATCAGCAGACATTCTGTTCTTTCAGTTGCCAGAGTCACAAATTTCCCATGTGTACATCACCAAGGAGCCTAAAACCTACACCATCCTGCTCAGACTGGTAAATATACCCTTAGCTGGAAAATCAGGTGCTAGTGGCAGCTAAGCCACAGTATTTTAAAATAGCAACCTTGATCATTAGAATTAATCTACATCGTTTGAACTGCCAGTTCAACAGGCCTACCAGTGATTAGAACAGGTAAGTATTCAAGTATCAACTCAGAGGCAGAACAAGAACCAACCACAAAGACAAAACAAAAAACACAGTAAATGACCAAGAGGCAAATGAACAATGCTCCTGGCTTATATATTTGCATTTAAAGGGATATTTATTAGTTCAAATAGAACACCAAAACAATAAAATAGGCCCTGTTCTCACAACTACTTTTTTTTAATATGCTAGATAGTTACCCACAGACTTATGAGTCTCTACCATTCCTGCCCTAAAAAGGTCACCTTAAAATGAGACAGGATATTTCAATGAACCCCATACTTGTCTGAAAGAGTACCAATTAGTAAGTATCATGATGGTGTTTTGAGGAACAAGCATGTACTTGTCCACTAGGAAATGGACGGAGAGCACCACACATTTCACAAAAGCTAAACCAGGGGTCGGCAACCTTTCAGAAGTGGTGTGCCGAGTCTTCATTTATTCACTCTAATTTAAGGTTTTGCGTGCCAGTAATACATTTTAACATTTTTAGAAGGTCTCTTTCTATAAGTCTATAACATATAACTAAACTATTGCTGTATGTAAAGCAAATAAGGTTTTCAAAATGTTTAAAAAGCTTCATTTAAAATTAAATTAAAATGCAGAGCCCCCTGGACCGGTGGCCAGGACCCAGGCAGTGTGAGTGCTACTGAAAATCAACTTGCATGTCACCTTCGCCACGCATGCCATAGGTTGCCTATCCTTGGGCTAAACAGTCACTGGATAGTAACAATTATGGCTGGATTCAAGTCAAAGCCAAGCCACATCAGATGGAAGTCATCTATTTCACTCTACTGATTCTCCCCTCACCCCCAATTATTCTAATCCTCCCCTGTGAACATTTGTTGGATGGAAAAAGGTCTCTCAGGACAATAATGGAAATTCATCTGAAAATCAAGCAATTGAAAACTTTAAAACCATGAATTCCTGCTCATCAGCTGGAATAAGAAAAGTAACTGTGGAGGCACACTAGTGAGAAGAATTGTTGTGGTTCTGAACAAATAGGTAGAATGTCACAATGGCAAGGGCGAATTGAAGCCATGCAAAATTCTTTTACACATTTAACAGCTCAGATACAGAATCTACTTGCCTGTTCCTACCCAAGATTGATAATGGGGAAAAAGATATATTTTATTCACCATTTAAAAAAATCCCTTGTCTCATGCAATGAGTGTAGAACTCTGTAAGGCTGTCTAAGGGCTTGTCTACACAGCCCCAGAGTGCAGACTACTGGGTGTGAACTGTAGTGAGCACTAAAGTGTTGCACTTTAACTGTCCTGTGCAGACCCTGCTAGTATGAACTAAAAGATACCTAGTTTCTGTTAATGTAGTCCTGTTTGAAACACAAACTAGATACCTTCTAGTTTGCGCTAGCAAGGTCTACACAGGACAGTTACAGTGCAAAACTTCATCATGCAATGCAATTCATAACCTCATAGTTTGCACTGCAGGGCTGTGCAGACAATCCCTAAATTTCATGTGTTCAAGCAAATATAATTTGACTAAATGCATATAATACCTAACTGATATGCTAAAATTCAAAAAATGTTTGGTGTACCTTGGCTGCTTTCACTCTGGTTCTCTGCTTTCCTCTTTCTTCCCCTGGAAGGTTCTGATTGTTTCTTCTCTGGAGTCTACAAAAAGCAAATTAATGTCTTTAAATGCAAAAGAAACTGATCCAGCAACAGCTCTACTTAGTTATATTATTGTTACATGCAGTAAATAAAAAATCTCATTTTTAAAACATGGTCTCAGTTCAGCATGAATATAATTTCAGATTTTAACTGAAGGAAAAAGATGACAATATGAGTACTTACTCTTGTACTCTCTCCCTTCAGAAGGTTTATTACACCTGTGTGTTGTGTTTACAGTAGAACATCAGAGTTACGAACACCTGGGGCATGGAGGTTATTCGTAATTCTGAACAAAACGTTACGATTTGTGTTCTTTCAAAAGTTCACAAATGAACCTTGACTTAACACAGCTTTGAAACTTTACTATGCAGAAGAAAAAATGCATATTTTAACTATCTTAATTTAAATGAAACAAGCACAGAAACAGTTTCCTTATCATGTCAAATCTTTTTTTTTAAACATTCCCTTTATATTTTTTAGTAGCTTATGTTTAACACCATACTGTATTTGCTTTTTTCCCCCCATCTCTGCTGCTACCTGGTTGCATGCTTCCAGTTTCAAATGAGGTGCGTGGTTAATTGATCAGTTCATAACTCTGATGTTCATAACGGAGGTTCTACTGTAGTTTTAAATTAGATAATAAGGTCTTATGGTCAAAGTCTGCTTTTTTACTATATTTGTACACTGCCCAGCTGAAAGGGGCCCAAGTCTGAGCCAACAGCTCTGGGCACTACTGACTTCCATATACTGCACCGTTTTGATATAAGAATAAAAGTTTGTCAAAGCTATTTTCAAAATGTATCTTTCTCCAGGAACACAGTGCTTACAAATGTTTCTCTACATGATGTTTGTTGAGCGATACACTGTTATCTTAAGTTATGTTCAGTCTAAACATTTAATGAACATTCTGTGAACAAAGCAAGTTAATGTTAAGTGATAAATTGACAAGATTTAACCAAGTATTGATGACATTAAAAAGTAATCTTTTCCTCTCATCCATCCTTTTCTGCTTTCAGTTTAATTGGAAAATAGTTAAGTGATTTTATTATCAAATGTTATTCAATTATTAGCATTTTAATATAGCATCTTAAATAGCCAATGTAAATGCCGAGTATAATTTTAAAACTGTACAGCCTTTACAACTATTAAATATGTCTACACAATCATTTTAAATTTCCCCAAAAGTTAGTTATTCTGCAATTATAAAAGATCAGCTCTCTCATCTATAAACCTCTGTAGGAATTTAAATTTGAAAAAATCAAAACTCCAATAATTTGTAGAAAAAATATTTCATTTTCTTTTAACCTTTTTCATTTCTTTTGTTTAGTTTAACCTTAAACTGCAAACAGTATTAGCACTCTAATAAGATGTCTAAAATTATACTGGAGGTAATTTTCACTTTTGGTAAATACAGTATTCATATGATAATGCACAATGCATATGCAAAACTCGGGCATATCAGTTCAAATCACCACAAAATGTTTTCCAGAAACCAATCAGCACCTTTCTTCTTCTAATGGAACCATATGAATTACAACAAATTCAAGAGCTCTGGAGCTGGGAAATATCTGGTGAACACTCCCCAAATAACAAAGCTGTCTTCACTTACAAACTTCAGCAAAACTTACAAACAAGAAAAAACATTTTTAGAAGTTCTCCAATGTCAGATTCCAGAACTATGAAGAAAAACACAAAGCTGACATGTTGCCAAGAGCCCTATACTTTATGTCAGAGGTGAGCAAACTATGGCCCGCAGGACACATCCGGCCCGCAGGACCCTCCTGCCCTGTTCCTGAGCTCCTGGCCTGGGAGGCTAGCCCCGGACCCCTCCCCTGCAGCCTAAGTTCACTGCGCCGCCGGCGCAATGCTCTGGGCGGCAGGGCTTCAAGCTCCTAGGGCAGCGCAGCTGCAGAGCAGCGGCCTGTCCCGGTGCTCCGGGCAGTGTGGCTGTAGCGCCGCTAGGCACCGGTGCTCCAGGCAGCACAGTAAGGGGGCAGGGAGTGGGGGGGTTGGATAGAGGGCAGGAGAGTTCGGGGTGGTAGTCAGGGGGCAGGGGTGTGGATAGGGGGCAGGGCGGTCAGGGGGCAGGGAGTGTTGAATGGAGGCAGGAGTCCCCAGGGGGCAGTCAGGAAGGAGAGGGTGGATTGGATGGGGTGGCGTGGGGCAGTCAGGGGACAGGGAGAAGGGGTGGTCAGATGGAGCATGGGTCCCGGGGGGCAGGCAGGAAGGAGAGGAGGGGTTGAATGGGGCGGCAGGGGCAGTCAGGGATGGACGTTCCAGGAGCAGTCGGGGGGATTGGATGGGGCAGGAGTCCTGGGGGGCCTGTCAGGGGACAAGAAGCAGGGAGGGTCAGATAGGAGGTGGGGGCCAGGCCACGCCTGGCTGTTTGGGGAGGCATAGCCTCCCCTAACCGGCCCTCCATACAATTTCTGAAACCCGATGTGGCCCTCAGGCCAAAAAGTTTGCCCGCCCCTGCTTTATATGGTTCAGGTCCTGGTTTACCTGTATATTTTGTGATTTACCACTTGTTTCTATCTTGGCTTGATAGTTTTTAATTTTGGCCTTTATATTTCCTTTTATAAAACGTATTCATTTGTAATAGTCTGCCTCTAAAAGAATTACTCTCTCTTTCCAAAATCGTGGGTTAAGATAGAAATACAGGTCTATATAAATATTTTATATTTACTTACAGAACGATTCATAGTAGCACACAGAATTTTTTCAAAGAAAAAAAGTGGAAAACCACCAATTTGTACTATGTGTCTCTTAAGTATGTAATGTCTTTCCCTCTCTATAGCAAATAAGTACAAGAAATACAGCATTTTCTAAGGTGTCTTTACATTGTCGCACCAAATCTGCAATCTGATCTGCATGGGTGGAATCCAACCAAAATTAGCTGAGGTCCACCCATGCAGATCAGAACCTATATTTGCAAGGCTTTTCTATTAAAATTCTGCCATTCCAAAATCCCAGGTTTTAATACTAGTATTAGTGACCTAGAAAAATGATTATTTCTAAATTCTACCATGTTTTCTGCATCCTTGTCTGGCACACAAAACAAGAGATAAAAGTATCTCATGCATTGAGAAATTAAAAAATATCAAATAAAGATTTATTTTTATATACCACATTATCACTAACAAAGCATAGCGTGATTGCATCAGTACTGCATTACAGTTTGATAATAAACTAACATTCTCACTACAGAAACTAATGTTAGTGTTGTATTTCTAACCAAGATCTAAATTTCTACATTATTTTTCAAAATCTGTTGCAATACAGCTAAGGTCTCAACACCACAAAGGGAAGCCCGGCTCACCTTATAAATATATCTTCAGGCTCCTACTGTACCTTTCATATGACAAATTGTTTACCATAACAGACTCTCTATTATGACACCATTTCAAAAATTGTTGTATGTAACATTAAAAGTTTAAATTTATTCTGTTAAAAGATTACATTTAGTGTGAAAACAAACCAGATGTTATTTAAAGGAGTAAAATGCTACAGTCTCTCATTATCATATCTGGCATAACTCCAAACCCTTTGAAGAGAATAGAACACCTTTTGAAAAATGGGTCAAGAAAGCACATTCTTTTATTTAGTGCCACAATTTTTCTGATTGCTCATTGAAAATGTAAAGACATCCTCCACTTAATTTTTTTAATGAAACCATCACAGCTGCAAAAAATAAAGCCATGGCATGGCAGAATTCCAGAAATCATCTTTCAGCGAACATGGAAGGAACCTGCAGCAGGAGACATAACGTAGTGAATAGTTCTGCTTAGGGCCCTTTAAAAAATTTTTTTAAATGTGTGGTTGCTGAATTTTGGGGGCTCTTTTGTTACTTGTGGTTAAGAATCCAATATACAAAGATACTTTACAATTTAGAAATAATCACCCCAGCCTCGGAAATATGGCCTTGTGGTTAAGGCACTGTACTTTGTGTCAGAAGATCTGGGTTGAATTCCCAGTTCTGGCACAGACTTCCTGTGTCCTTGGATAAATCACTTATTCTTTGTAGCTCAGTTCCCTATATGTAAATTGAGGATAATGGACCTTCCTACTTCTCAAGAGTGTTCTGAGGATAAATTCATCAGTGTTTGGGAGGCATTCAAATAATCTATGGCAGGGGTTCTCAAACTTCATTGCACCGCGACACCCTTCTGACAACAAAAATTACTACACGACCCCAGGAGGGTTGTGGGGGCCAAAGTTTGAGCCCCACCAGCCAGGGTGGTAGGGGGACCGAAGCCTCAGGGCTTCAGCCCTGGGAGGGAGTGGGGGCATGTAACCTGAGCCCCACTGCTCAGGGCTGAAGCCCTCGGGCGTTGGCTTCAACCGCGGGCCCCAGCAAGTCTAAGGCCAGCCCTGGCGACCCCATTAAAACATGGTCGTGATCCACTTTGGGGTCCCAACCCACAGTTTGAGAACCACTGATCTACGGTGATGGATGTCATACAAGATCCTAGATCAGAGGTTCCCAAACTGTGGTATGTGAGATATCTCTGTGGGGGTACACAGGAGGAATTGCGTAATGGTGGATTGTATTTTACTTATTGCATTTTCATAATAGGCTACTGAGACAAAGCTTTAAAACTCTGTGGAAATTTATTATATAAAATATGGTAGTTAATTTACTTCAAGACGTACCAATAAGAACAGATACACAGAGACACTGATGTACAGAGCCCTCACCTCCAATCACCGTACAGCGCAGGTTTAGTTGCCCAGCAACTGTCCAGTCTAACTGAGCTCAGAACTTAGGGGGGGTTTTCGGTTGTATATGTCACACTATAACTATATCTGTATGTAACAGTGAAATATGAACAGATGGCTAAAGACCAGTAGTGTTAAGAAAAACAAAGTATCAGTGATGAGAAGGGTAGAGCTATGTGGGCAGCTGGTAGATCTGGAAGGGGGCACTCAACAAGAAAAGTTTGGGAAACTCTGACCTAGATAATAGGCAGTACCCTGATATAGGACCATATTTTTCTTTC